AACCAACAAAGAAAGTTTCCCTCCATATATAAACCTTTCCTTGACCCTCCACAACAACAAACTAATACTATGTTTGTCCTTCTGTGATTGACTTATTTCACTCAGCATGTTCTCCTAGTTCATCCATGTTATGCAGTGTTTTGCAGATTCTACATTATTGAATACAGGCATTTTAATACTGTTTATTCTGTTAGTTATACTTACAGTATAGTGTAGGTATGTATGTATGTACAAGCTTTCTCAGAAATGCATACTGAAGTTTTTAAGGGTGAAATGACATGACATCTTGGATTTGCTTAAAACACTTGGGTCAATAAAAGGGAGCATAGGGTAGATTAAGGAGTCCATGGGCTCCTTTATGTGCATGGTTTATGTGCTTGGCTGCTAACTAAAAGGTTAGAGATTCAAGTCCACCAGAGGTGGCTGAGAGGAAAGACCTGGCAATCTACTCCTGAAAAATCAGCCATTAAAAACCCCATGGAGAACAGTTCTACTCTGACACATGTGGTGTCACCATGAGTAAGAACTGACACTTGATGGCAATTGGTTTTGGTGATAAACTTGCAGAATGTTGCTAATTGTTAAAGGTGAGTGATGAGTGTATGGAGTTTTGTTATACTATTATGTCTATTTTGGGATGTGTCTGAAATATTTCATAAGAAACAATTAAAAGCAAAACTTCCTGAAAGATAGACATTGAAATAGGGAACACAAGAAAAAGACCAGGTCTGGGTGATGTGGGGGAATCATGAATTCCTTTTGGGTTGAATCTGACATGCCTTTGCTATTCGTAAGTGGAGGTGGTCGGTCTGGAACTCTTAAGTGTGCTAGAGATATAACAGTGAAGGTAAATGGTGACTGGTGCTGTGGGCACTGAGAAACTACCCAGGGAGGAATGAAGAATGATGAGAAGAGACGAGACTTGAAGGACTCAAGTATGTAATGACTAGGTCCCTGCTACTATCGAGTTGATTCCAACTAATAGCTACCCTGTAGGACAGAGTAGAACTGCCCCCAAAGAGTTTCCAAGGCTATAAATCTTTACAGAAGCAGATTGCCTCTTCTTCCTCCCATGGATTGGTTGATGGGTTCAAACTGCCAACTTTTTGGTTAGCAGCTGAATGCCTCAACTATTTCACCACTGGGGCTCATTAATGGCCTGGTAGAGGAGGGTAACTTTCAAACCTGAGTGAGGAGTAGTGACTCAAAGAATGAAAGGTCATAAATGCCTAGGAGGAAAGTGTTACCAAAAGGAGGATGTGGGTAACAGAATGGAATGTTGCCAAGAAGTCTGGCCAGATGAGAACCAAAAAGCTTCCATTGGGCTTGGTGTCATGGATTGAGACTGCCTGGATGAGACCTGTTTGGGCTGAAGAGTGAATGGGAGGTGAAGAAGTATGTCTATGAAGTGGAAGAGAAGGGGAGTGGTAGGTTGAGGAGACATGGAGGTGAGGAAAGAAGAGTTTTTGGATTGGTTTTGTTTTTTTAAGGTGAGACATTCTTTTTTTTTTTTTTTTTTTTTTTAGGATTTGGGTGAAGATTTACAGAGTAAATTCACTTTTCATACAGCAGTTCACATATACTTTGTCTCATGTCATTGACCAAAATTTACAATGCAGCAGTTCCCCTCCCACTTCCTCCCCATAGTTACCTCCTCCCAGTGTCCATCCCTTCATACTCTTCGAGAGGCCCATTGTCTGCCAACCCTGTATATGATCTTGGATACACTCTCCATTTAGACATACATAATTGTTTAGCTTGTTCACCCATCTATCCGTCCCTATACCCATGTTTGCTTTCATTAACAACTCAGTATTGTATTTACAAAGGGGTTCATATTTGTTGTTTGTACTGCCCATGTAACTCTCTCTGTCTTTCTCATCCTCAATGCTGCCATATTGGTCACTCACATTTGGTACATTGCCCTAAGGTGAGACATTCTTGAACACATTAAATGATGAGACAAATGATACAGCAGAGAGGAAAAAGTTGAACATATAGGAGAAAGGATAGTCAATACTGTAAGCTTCCTGAGAAGGTAGGAGACGTTGGGATGGAGGTTTGGCTTTGGACAAGAGGTAGGAATGTTCCTTTATTCTATTAGGAAGGAGGGGGAGATGATCAATGCAGAAAAAGGAATGTCGATGATGCTTTTCCTTTGAGGTTTTTTTTTCCTTGAGAAGTAGGAAGTGTTTGCAGAAGGTTGGAGAGAGTTGTAGAAAGGGGAAGAGTGAGTAACCAGAGAAACTTGGCAGGATTGCCCATTGGGGTGAGGTTGGGGACCATGGTCTGATGACAGAGAGTTGGTGGGAGACTCAACCAGAGCAGTATAGGCAGTGTGTGGGGGAAGACAGGAATGGCATGGGTGGTCAACATGGGCGAGGTCCCTGTGGTTGGCCTCTACCCCTTAGACAAAGTGCTTCAGAAACCCAGAAGATCTCATTTTCCTTGCAGAAGTTCTAGAGGCAGCCAAGCCTCTCAGTTGGCCTCTTCCACACAGTGCCTACTGCATCTCTCAGGTCGACGAGTGCTGGCACCAGAACACATTCTACTCAAGCTCTTCCCAGATGCACCTGCTCTCTGCAGGGCTTGGGCTGCCTGCACTAGGCCTCTGCTGCAGTGGGTGGTACCTACTGCCACTAGGGGAAATACAGCCCTCCAGGGGCCCACTGGGAGGACTGAGCAACACACCACACACACCCTTAAAATGTATCATTTCTCTTTCTAGCTTAACTCAGGTGATCCGGAAGTTTGCCAAGCAGTTGGACGAGTGGCTGAAAGTGGCTCTCCATGACCTCCCAGAAAATCTGCGGAACATCAAGTTTGAGTGTAAGTATTGAAGTGGGCTTGGTAGCAGAGAAGGGGAAATAGCATGTTTGTGCTAAACATTTTACACAGCTTGTTAATAAGATAAAAGAAGAATATCCACCATTTACTGTTTGCCAACACCAGGTATTATGCTAAGCACTTCACACACATTAACTCATTTAATCCTCACAAAATGTTTATTATGAGTGGCACACTTCTCCTTTCACAGTAAAGGAAGCAGACTTGAGAGGCAGTGAGTAGCAGGACCAGGATGTGTTCACACATCTGTCTGTCTGTCTCATACCTAAGTTTGTGCTTATCACCACCCTACTCCTTATTTCATCCTTATACCACCATGGAGGAAAACGTATCCCTTAATCTGTCGAAGCAGCTCCAAGAGGCAAAGAAACTTTCCCAAAGTCACACAGCCCCACAGTAAGTAGGAGCCAGGAGTCAAACTTAGGTCGATCTAATGCCAAAGCTCTGAGACTTCCATGAAGCTCCTGCCCACAAAATGGCGGTAGTGGGAGACAGAAAATGGCTTAAGGGCTTCAGGTACTTACTTCCCTGCCTAATTAGAAAGCCGAATTAATATTTTTCATAAGGGGGCTGGGACTGTGGTTCTTAACTGAGCATCATCACTCATTACCACCATTCGTTTTGCCTGGGAAAACGGGTTCTGTTTTTCTGTCAGGATGGATGGGCCTGTACTTCTGGTAAGATTTGTGTGGGAAGATTCATTTGTTGCTATTAAACAAAGACAAAATGATTTTAAGCAAAACAACATTTTGAGATATATGTTTCTCAAAGCTCCATTTGAATACAGCTCGCTATTCTTGTCCAAAGTAAGAGCCAGCAAGGAAAATGAAGGAGATCAAATTACCTTCTCTCCACAGGCCTAGGGGGCCCTCTCAGATGTGCTTTGAGGCTGCCTGCAGGGCCCATCACCTATTGATAAAGCCTGCTTTATTTCACGGCTCTCAGTTCTTTTCTTTTCAGGAGCACTAAATTCCACATCACAAAGTTAAAGGAAAAGTAATTAAGGAGAAGGATTAACGATTGATCGGCCTGGAAAATTAGAAGTTGATCTGCCCGCCCCCACCCCATTCCTCCACCCCATGCCCTGTTTTTCAAACCAAGCTGGCCCAGAGTCCAAATGAGAATAATCCGGGGGAAACTTCGGACTATATTTGTTGACCAGTTCCAAAATTAATGAGAAGAACGCCCTGCACCCATTTTAATTACGCTGACAAAACAAACCTGTTGAAAGTGGGCAATGAGGAAGTGTGTTGGACCTTCCACCTGTGGGTGCCTGGAGGCAGCTGTTCTTCCCAGGGAGTTTAGGAATTCAATTGGAGAATGTGCGAGGGGGTGGGACAAACACAACCCCCAAAGACTGGAAGAATGGAGACTTTGGGCAGGCACTGGCCTGTTTGCTTCAAAACCCACAGGCCAATCACCCCACTTCACATTCTCAGGCTCGCTCAGCGTATGCCAGTGGAAGACAACAGGTTTTCCTAATTGCAGTGAGCTTCAAAACACCTAAATAGAATATGGAGTGCATTTGGCAAAATGGCAGATTATGAGCGTAGTCACATTAAAGTGCAGCCTAATGTTTCATCTAGAAGCATCCCCTAGCACCCCGCTCCAGTGAGGCTCAACCACACTTTCCCATTAGAAACACTACTTTTTAAAGGGGCTTCTTCAAAGCTCCCCCTTGATTCCTGCAATTATTTATGGGGAGAAGTGATTGAGCTTGCAATTAGTGAAATGAAAGACAAGTAAATAATTGCTTTTACTCACGGTTGATTGACGCCACAATTTCTCACACCTGCCAGTGTGGCGTGTGCATGACTTTGAAATACGCACCCTAAATATCACTCTCAGGAAACAGTTGTCAAAGTCCAAATGGAAGAACAAGGAACCAAATGCAGGGTTTGGTCAATGGGTGCATAAAATGGGTTGGACAGTGAAAAAATTTAGGCAAATAAGGAAACTACCCTTTGGAAATTGGCCCCTGGAAAAAAAATCCAGAGTACGACCATAAAGCGTGCAAATATCTCAAACTCACTCTTTTCTTCTTGCAGTGTCGAGAAGGTTCTCCCAAATTCTGAGACGGCAAACATCATTAAATCATCTTTGCCAGGTAGCTGTCTTACGTTATGAATTTTAAGCACTGCTGAGTCATTGCATTAAGGTCAAATCCACAAAAGTAACACTTTATATGACTTGCTGGTGTGTGGTTCAACAGTAAGCTCTCACTATTTTGTTGAATTTCCATAGATATGGAATAAAAATAGTTTTAACTAAAATACAGAATTTTCTTGGACATCAAATGCCCCTTAACCTTTCAGATATGTTCTAGGGTCTGTGACTTTATGTTTCTCTTAACTTACATCAGGGTTTGTCAACCTCAGCACTACTGGCATTTTGGGACAGAGAATTCTTTGTTATGAGGCCTGTTCTGTGCATTACAGATGTTTAGTATCATCCGTGGCCTCTCCCCACTAGATGCCAGTAGTACCACTTCCCTCCCACCTCATGAGTTGAGACAAAAATATCCAGCCAACCAATCAGCTGCCTTCAAGTTGATTCCGACCTGTGTGTCAGAGTAGAACTGTGCTCCATAGGGTTTTCAATGGCTGTTTTTCCAGAAGTAAATTTTGCTGGACCTTTCTTCAGAGGTGCATCTGGATGAACTGGAACCTCTGACGTTTTGGTTAGCAGCCACCTGGCTTCACCTGCTTGGTCTACCCAGCGAACTCCCAGAATGTAATCAAGCACTGCCAAATGTAGCCTGAGGACAAAGCCACCTGTGGGTGTGAACTACTGAAGTAAATGAGTCAAATAGATAAAGAGGGTGATTTGCTGCTTCATCCAAGAGTTCAAGACCATATAAAAAATATTGCCCAAATTTGTTCATTTTTTTCCGGATTTGAGTTATTTTTGGCACACATGTATATACTTACTATTAAAAAAATTTTTGAACCTTACAAAAGTATATAAAGTAAAAAGTGAAAGCTTCCACTCCATGCTTCTACCTCTCCTCCATGGATAGACCTTTGATATTCATTGAACTTGATGGTAGAGAACTTTTTACTTTTATTTAATTTTGTACCTTAATGAGAGGAAATGAAGTCTTACTAGGCAGCCCATCATCATTACATTAAAGTATCAATTACCTTTAAAGCAGAGATTGCAAACTGGTGGCCACAGGCTAACTCTAGCCCTCAGATGCATGGAGGTGGTTTTTGATTGGCATATTTCCAAAACTTTTCTTTCACCTGGTCACTAACATTTACACTGGGAGATGACAGTTAGAAATTCAAATGGGTGACTGCTTTGGAGGAGTCCCAGTGCTGCTCCATTCCCCAGGACAGCAATCAGCTGTACAAGGGCACTGTTCTCAGCACCAGCCCTTGGCCACCTCATCATATATGTCACTTGACTGACATCAGTGTTTGAGTTTCATGTGTTTGAGTTTATAAGCTCTCCCTTCAAGTGCTGTTGGTTCTGGGTTGGTGCTGATTACCCAAAGTCAAGGTAGGAGGGAGGAATGCTTGAAGGAAGGTTCTAGGCCAGGACCAGGAAGAGTAACCATCTATCCCTGTACACCTCACTGTTCCTCCTGGCCCCCGACATTAATGTTGCAAGGAGTGGAGACCAGGGAAACTTTTCCATATCCCTGAGTCTGGTGCACTGCTCTCAGGTAGGGGCAGGGCCTGACAGATTATAGGGATCCAGAAGAAACCAAGTATTTACAAAACAAAGGAATTGCTGTATTCCTAGGGGCCCTTGCCAGCTTGGCCTTCTGTTTCTTTCCTCAGTTTGGGAGAGCCATCTTGGTCATGTCAGAGACCTAGACATGGTTTTGGTGCCTCCCTCTGGGGCTCAGCTATTTAAGAAGGTGGTATAGTGATTAAGGCATTTGGCTGCTAGCCAAAAGGTCAGTGGTTTTAATTTACCAGCTGCTCTGCAAGAGAAAGATGAAGCAGTCTGCTTCTGTAAAGACTTACAGCCTTGGAAACCCAGTGGGGGTCACTGTAAGTCAGAATCAACTCAATGGCAGAGAGTTTTTATGGGAGTTCTGGTGGCGTAGTGCCTAAGGCATTTGACTGCTAACCTGAAGCTGGTTCAAACCCACCAGCCACTCCTCGGAAGGAAGACTAGGCAATCTACTTCTGTAGAGATACCGCCTCAGATGAGTGGGACCCAACTCAATAGCAGTGAGTTTGGTTCTTTTTTGCTTATCACCTCAGAAACCCAAGGAGGGGTCACTACGAGTCAGAAATGACTTGACAGCAGTGAGTTTTTTGTTGTTGTTCCTTAAATGTGTGCATAGGTGAAAGCATCCATGTTCATGCTGACACCCGCTGTGCATATGTGTGCACCCACACACATGTACTTTCTCTCCATTTTCCACACTAAGACAGCATGTGATTCAATTAGCACATACCACCTTCTCATCCTCCCAAATACATTCCCACTGTGGGCTGGAGTTAGCTCTGGGAGTAAAATACCATGGAACTTCTCAACAAAACACCTCAGCTGTCCTGACCACACAGAGCAAGTCCCACTAACCAACATTCTAATGAAAACTCACCCCCAAATACTCACACCAAGATCAAAGACCCTTTAGATACATTAAGCGAGGAGGTTGGCATTTGTATTTTAGCCATTCAGGCCATAAAAATTTCTGAGCAGTGACTGTGTGCCCGACACTATGCTCATTGGTACCCAATCTCAACAGGAAAAAAGTTAGCCAAACAAAACAACTTAAACGTTATGAGTGTTATGATGGGAACAGAGTGGAAATGGAGAACAGGTTCTTTTTTTGATAAAATGGTCAGAGAAGACCTCTCCAAGGATGTAACACATTCAAACTGAAGCTTACATGACAGTGTCGACATCATGGGGTGGGGCAGGCAAAAAGTGTTGCGGGCAGTTTCACACAGGGACAGCATGAGAAAGGCCTTGAGGGGCCAATGCGATCAGTGCAAAGAGAACCATCTGAGCTATGATGGACAAGGTCAACTTGGTTAAGCTCTCACTCGGTGCACTGCGCTTTTCAAACATTATGTCGAGGAAAGCTCAATAGCACGCTCCCTTAAGAGACAGATAGTGCTGCAATCCTATTTAAAGATGAGGCAACTGAAGTTAGAAAAGACTTATATGCTGGCCCCAAATTAATCAATTGGTCAGCAGCAAGGCCAGGATTTGACCGTGGTATGTGTAAATCAAGAGATACCATGTTGTCACAGTGGTTAAAATGCTTGGCTGCTAACCAAAAAGTTGGTGGTTCAAACCCACCAGCAGCTCCAAAGGAGAAAGATGAGGCAGTCTGCTTTCGTAAGGAGCAAAGCCTTTATTCTACTCTGTCCTACAGGGTCGCTATCAGTCAGAACCAACTTGATAGCAATGGGTTTTACATTTGAATCTGGAACCCCTCATTTTCACACTTTGTTACTTTTATCATTGTTAGAGACTGGCCCACTTCATCTTTCTAGGCCTCTGTGGACTTCAGAGAATGCTTTAAAGGGTTCTAAGATGTGTTAAGTGAAGATTTACTCATGCTAGGATAGTCTGGGCATAACAAGGGGCCGTCAACAGTTACCATTGTCTCGAAATTCACAAGCCTCAGGAGGCTTACCGCATCCACTTGTATCTGAAATCTGTATTTTATTGAAGATGTTTTCAAAAGCAGGAAATGATCCTAGAAATGTTTTTCTTTATGTGTTCCAACATATAAATTTAAATTCTATTAATGAGGGTTTACTGCTACAGTTAAAATGTGTGTGTGTGTGTGTTATAAATCTATCATAGGTCAGGGTAGCAGAAACATTCCTAAATCTAGGCCTGTTGATCCTTAGGCATTAAAGACACACAGGTTATTAAGCGCAGAACTCCCTGCCCATAAGCTTACATCAGAAAGCTGACTGAATCTCTGGGCTCCATCCCATTGTTTCACCAGGTCAAGACCAAAGGTCTTGAACAGCTAGGCCTGATGTGGCCTAGGCCACCTTGGCAGTTTCTTGTTGAGAAAGAAATGTGAGGAGAGACCCCCAGTATAAAACAGTATACGTGTCTCCTGAGTTATGGAGTGAGCTGTTGATTTACTAAAATTGTGTTTTCCCTGAGTTTTAAAGTAGTTTACAAACTACCAAAACCAGATCCATTGAAGAGGCATAAAATTAAATAAAGTGAAAGAGGTTGAACCTAACAAGCCATAGCTAATAAGTTGATTGGATTGGATTTTAGGCATCTCGAACGGTGATCCACAGTGCAGATATCACGTTCCAAATGCTCGAAGACTGGAGGAACGTGGACCTTAACAGCATCACCAAGCAGACCCTTTATACCATGGAAGACTCTCGAGATGAACACCGGAAACTCATCATCCAGTGTAAGATGTTCCGATAAGCATTGCGTCTTCCTGTTTTTGTTTCTTTAAAAAAAAAAAAAAAAAACCTTGGTAAATATTTCAGTGGCATTCCCACCCTGTCCTTCTCCCTGGAATTCCCTCCTTATTGTATCTATTAAATGGGTCAGCCCAGTGGATGGGTTAATTCATTTAAGAGGACATGTGTCAACACTGCTGGAGAAAAAGGGTTCTGGTTGAATGGGACAGTACACAATGTCACTCAAAAGACCCTGCATGTGACCCTGAATGCTGGGCATAGTTCCAAACCAAACCGAACTCACTGCTGTTGGGTCGGATCCGACTCAAAGCGACCCCTCCTTGGGTTTCCAAGGCAGTATAACTATGGAAGTAGATTGCCCAACCTTCCTTCCAAGTAGTGGCTGGTGGGTTTGAACTGCCAGCCTTCTGATTAGCAGTCAAATGCCTTAGGCACTATGCCACCAGAACTCCTGGGCATAGTTCCATGAAGGTGCTATTTTTTTAAAGATGAGAACTTTTTTTTTTTTTTTTTAAACATTTCAGTAAAAATATTTTCCAAGGGGTCATACTGAGAGTTTTTTTTTTTTTTTTAATTGTGATTTGGGTGGAAGTTTACAGAGCAGGCAAATTCATTTTCCATATAGCAGTTCATAGACATTTTGTCTCATGACATTACTGCAATTTCCCACAGTGTAACCGCTCTCTTCCCACTTCCTCCTTGTCGTTACCTCTACCCTGTGTCCTTCCCTCCCAGGCACTCCTGCCCCCTGAGCTGTCTCCCTATGCATACACAGCCTTTCCGTTCTCCCATGACTGATCACTCCAGATAGTGTATCTACCTGATGAAATGTTCACCCCATACACCTGTCTATTATTTGGCTTGAAGCCATGGGAGTGAGCTCAATTCCAGACCTGCAGGGGCCATAGTCTCTGGGGTCTCACCAGACTCTATCAGACCAGCAAACCTAGTCTTTTTGTGTATGTGTGATTTTGAGTTTTGTTCCACAATGAAACAAATGAGAACAAATCTTATTCCCTCTCTCAGGATATGGCGGTCTGGAGTCAGTGGAGACACTGCATGGTTTCAGTGGTGGGTCTCATGAGTTACCCCACTATTGCCAAATGAATCTTTCAATCTCATTAAATAAGATGCCTGATAAGGGGGTGGATGGTGATTTACTTCTGAGGACACATGTTCACGTCCCGTGGACAGACTGCTAACACCCAGCGGCAGGTATACTGCTCCAGATGTCATCCTGATGTGGTCATATTGCTTATTCTTAGCAGTAAAGGAGCACAAGGGGGCATCCTTGTCAGCACATCTCTGCTATTCCTCAAACATCCACCCAGCATCTGGCCAGGGCATCTCCCAGTCCAGGGACCCTGGATCTGTACCTGTAGGCCATGACCTTCCTTTAGTCAGCCTTCCTTTCCCTGGCCTCTGGAAGAATGAACATGAGAGGCAGCAGGATGAACCAGCACCCCTCCTACCAGCTCTCAGACAAGGCTGGTGCTGACAGCACCCCAGGAATGTGCCAACTGCTGCACCCTCACCTTCTGAATACAATGAGTCTCAGATTGTGAGAGTGGGAACAGCACATTCAGGGACCTGTGATGGCCGTCCCACCCTATTATTCTGAAAGCCCCAGTCCCCTCAGATTTCCAGTATATGTCTTCTGCACTGTTGTTTTGAAGAGAAAACTTTCAGTCACTCTGAGCATGTGATGCTTATAAGAAAATAATGTTCATCAAGATGTTCCTAGGATCACTTGTGGTACAGTGGTTAAAGCTCTTACTGCTAACCAAAAGGTTGGTGATTCAAACTCACCAGCCACTTTGAGGGAGAAAGATGTGGCAGTCTGCTTCCATAAAGATTGCAGCCTTGGAAATCCGATGGGGCAGTTCTACTTTGCTGTGAGTTAGAATTGACTTGACAGCAACAAGTTTGGTTTTAAGACGTTCTTATTTGAGACTTCATATACTATACTCTTTTCAGAAGCAAATGGACATACATGCAGAAATTATTGAACTGGTGTATATTCTGTTGTTCATATTCTCAACAATGACAAAATACGATGATATATATATATATATTCTGTAAACTTTCACCCAAACTATAATAAAAAGAACAAAAAATGTTTTTGAAAAGGACAGATGAAGTCTGTTTGACCCTGTGGACCTTCCCTAAGGCCTCACCTCAGGCTCTTACTTCTTCCTCTGGGGGAGCCCCCAGCCCACTTTCCCTGACTTCCAGGGCTCTCTGCCATCACTCTACTCCTTAGGTTATTCCCTAGGGCTGATCCCAAGTGGCAGCCAGTCTCCTAGTCTCCTTCTTGCTGTCTCTACAGTCACTTCCCTTCTTCAGAGTTTTAGTGCTCCTCACTAAAATAATCGTTCAGTATCTAGACTGACCATTGATAAGGTTTTCAGTGGCCAAGTTGTTCAGAAGTGGATGTCCCCATCCTTCTTCCTAGTCTGTCTTGCTCTGGAAGCTCTGCTGAAGCCTGTCCACCATGGGTGACTCGGCTGGTATTTGAAATATCTGTGGCATAGCTTCCAGCCTCACAGCAACACACCAGCCCCCACAGTGCAGCAAACTGACAGACAAGTCATAGAAAACAAAAGTCCTCCCAATGGGACTAATAGGCAACATCACGAAAAAGATGGACATTGTCCTATTACTTGGATGGAAGGATTTCATATTACTTGGATCCACAACCAACGTCCATGGAAGCAGCAGTCAAGAAATCAGATGACATATTGCACTGGGCAAATCTGCTGCAAAAACGAAGATGTCATTTTGAAAACTAAGGTGTGTCTGACCCAAACCATAGAATTTTCAATAGCCTCACATGCATGTGAAAGCTGGACAATGAAAAAAGGAAGACTAAAGAAGAATTGATGCATTTGAGTTGCGGCATTGGTGAAGAATACTGAAAAGACCGGGGACTTCTGGAAGAATAAACAAATCAGTCTTGGAAGACATGAAGACAGAATGCTCCTGGGAAGTGAACCAGCCAGATTTTGTCTCGTGTACTACGGTTATGTTATCAGAAGGTACCATTCCCTGGGTCAAAGAAAGAAGTGGGGGGAAGAGACCCTTAATGAGATAGATGGATACAGTGGCTGAAACAATGGCCTCAAGCATACCAAGAATTGTGAGGATGGCGCAGGACCTTGGCAGTGTTTTGTTCTGTTGGACATGGAGTTGCTTTGAGTCAGAACCTCCTTGACAGCACCTAACAACAACAACAACGACATCTAGACCGTCTATTCTATGCTGGATCCTGTGCCAAACCTGCCTCTATACGATCCCATTTGATCTCCACATCAACCATGTGAGGAAGATATTCTTATCACCTCTATTAGACAATTAGAAAACTCAGCTTCAGGTCCTGCAGCCACTAAGCAGCAGGGCTGGACCTCAGACTCACTCTACAGAGAAAATAACAAATTGTGGGTGAATTTCAGAGGTTCCAGGATTGTTCTGGGTTCTCACAATCGTGCTTCCTATTCTGTTTTCCCTGTTCCCTGCTAGAAGGTGAATGGACAGCCAGACACCGAGTCCTCTGGCAGCACTAGCTGTACCTCTTGTCGCTGGTGCTCCCTGGCCTTCACACTGGCCTGTTGCAGCTTGGGGATTCAGTAATGTTGTGGAGGGCCAAAGAGATGCATGGAAACCCAGAATGACCCGACTTCCTCCCGCTAATCACTCTGAGCAGCATTACACTCAGCCCTTCTCCCCTCTATGTAGACCAGACTCATAGGGGGAAATATAGTCACCATTGCTTGCCTTAGAGACCAGGCTCCAAGCCCCTGCTGGAGCACCTTAGAGGAAAAAGAACCACTGGGGGCTTCCCTTTTCAAGTTTCTGTTAGCACAGGACAGAACAGTACTAGCTAAGCCCGGTCGATATTCTTTTCCCAGGGGAAGGAAGTGATGTGGTTCCTTCCAATCTAGCTGGTACTTATTAAATCCCTGTTCTGGGTCAGACACTGTGTTAGATGCTGGACAAAGAGCAGTGAATATAATGGACACTGCCCTTCTCACTGGTGGAGCTCTGATGGCATAGTGGGTAAGGCATTTGGCTGCTAACCGGAAGGTCAGTGGTTCAAACCCACCAACAGCTGCTTTATGGGAGGAAGATGAGGCAATCTACTCCTGTAAAGATTTACAGCCTTGGAAACCCAATGGGGGTTGCTATGAGTCAGAACTGATTTAATGGCAATGAGTTTGGTTTTAGTTTTGGCCCTTCCCACATGGAGCTAGTGGCAAACCAGAAGCTGAACAAGCAATTCACACATGGGTCACATCTTCCCAAAGAGGATGATGCCATGAGATACAGTGCTGGGAAGAGGGGGATTATAAAGGAAACAAGGCTGAAGTTGGAGGTCTGGTGGCCAAATGTCATCCCAACACCACCCAACCAGACAGCTGGGGGTGTCCTTGATCAGAGTGAGCTGGACCAAATGTCACTTTGTCAGGACCTGTGTGCTACACTCTCCTTTCTTTAAAGCAGTAGATGAGTCTGTTAACTCTTGCATCAGATTACCATCACATCAGAGATACACATCCTGGCTGGCAATGCTTGGCTTACCTTTAATTAAACAGTACACTTGGGGACTTGAGCATACTGATTAGAAGAGAGAGGAGAGTTAAGTAGTGCTATGGTGAGATCATGGGTTTGGGATGTCCAACAGACCTTGATTCAAGCCTGGGCTGTAGGACACTGTGATCTCAGTTTCCCTATATATGAAATGGGGATAATGTGCAAGGCCAAATTAAATGAGACAGATACCACATTCCTGGTGCACAGAGTACAGCTAGTACAGGGCAGTGATACAGAGGCAAGCACTTGGGTCAGGCTGTGTTTGAATCTTCCCTCTGCAATTCTTTAGCTGTGAAACCTTTGGAAAGTTACCAGTCTGAGTGCTATGCTTCTAAAATGGGGGACAAGAACAATGCCTACCCTATTTATAATAGCCAAAATATGGAAACAACCTAGGTGTCCATCAACTGAGGAATGGATAACCAAACTATGGTACATACACACAATGGAATACTATGCAACCCTAAAGAAGAACCT